CCACACCCACACAACCCACACCCACACCCACACAACCCACACCCACACCCACACCCCACCCCACACCCACACCCACATTCACAGCCTAAAAACATTTCAATAATAATATAATATGAACAAATTTGACTTACAGTTCCCATATGGGTAGTAGAGTTTGGGCATCCATTTTGTAACCAAATTCGACAAAATCTTGTGTTTCAATATTTCGACATGTTTGAGTCATAGAACTATTGTCAATGGCTTTTGCTCTTCGGTACAATTCTTGTACTTCTCTTTTCAAATCATTTAAATCGAATTTACTCTCTGGTAGATCGGTGATACGTGGAACTTTCAAACGAGATTCATCGAAATCAATTTCATTTGTTGTCTCATTATAGTTCATTCCACTGGTCAATAATTCTGCGAGAACTTTATATTCATAAAAACGTGTTTTCATAGTATTACCGACAATGGCCATATTTGTTGTTGTCTTACGAAATTTCAAATAATCTTCGATAGTCAAAACAACCAAAGGAAATACATATTCGCTATAAATGTTGCCTTTTCTACCTGCTGTTTGTCCAATTTTGATCATACAATCCATGATCATCTGAGAAGTAATTGTTTCAGCATTTATGTAATGATGTTTTTCAAGAACACTAGCAACAAGTAATGCTCGTTCGTGTGACTCGCTTGACCCTCGACTGCATATTCGGTCCTTTCCATTTTTTCTTCCGATTTATAGTCTTCAACACAGCTAGTATCCGATGTTCCAAAAGAGTGGGTAGACATGTGTACGCTGACATTGGCGTCGATCTCATTGTGCGTAATTTTATGCGGGCCCGGATAAACATTTTGTCACAAATGCATCCAATGAAATTGATACCATCACATTGACACTCAACAGTAAATCTAAGGAACCACACTATGATGACGACATCCATATGTACCCAAAAAGAAGCTTATATTCAGCTTTCTGGGAGGTAATGAAGCAAAGCTCATTCGCGACACTTTCGTGAAAATGCGCCATACTCCTTAAAACTTCTACTAAAAGTCCGTTCGCTTGCTGACACATCTGCGGACAATATTGTTTACTAGAGCGTCCGCTAGCAAAATAGGGCTTACTTGAACTTCTAGCTTACAATTAATCATATTAGGTCTGGTCTGTAATCGGACTACTACACTTGAAAGAAGCTCCTACTCATATTAGCCATCAGACTAGATAGGTAGCTTCAATATATCCAAATACATTTCGACATTTGAATCAGTATCGACAAGAA